GCCAGTCTCCGGAGCGTGCGCAGCAACTTCTCCCTGCTGACCAATGTGCCCATTCCCGGCAACAAGTAAGTCGAGGCTGGGGAGAGCTGGCTTTAACCCTCCCGTCCTGCTCTGTGCTGACCTCTCTGGACCTCGGTCCAGGCGGCAGCTGCCCCTGGGCCATGGCAGTTGGAGGGCCCCAGACCACAGAGGTGGTTGCAAGTGAGGGCCTCGGGGTGCATGCGCGGGGGTGAGGCCCGCTCCGGGCCCTGGTGCCTCCTGGCTGGGTCAGTGGCTGTCCTGTGGTGACTTCGTTTCCCTCCTGTCAACTGGGACGTCAAATCGTGCCTCTGTTTGACAGCTGCTGTGGAATCCAGGAGGTGGTGTGTAGAAAGTTCTAGAGCATTGCCCTGCGCGTAGTAAGTGCTCGCTAACTAGCAGTGGCTCTTAGGATTTTAGGGCAGGGGGTGTGGCTGAGAGCTGCCAGTCCCTCTGGGGTGGGGGTGGGGGCAGAGCTGTCTTCAGGGGGTTGGAGGGCTTGTGGGGAGGGGCAGACAAGGGAGAAGAGACTTGGGGAAGCAAGACCTGACCTGCCGCCCATTGGCAGGCCTGTGGGCTTGGGGGAAGCCGCTAACTTCTCCTTGCGCCTCGGTGTGCTCAGCTGTAGAATGGGCTCACGGAGCGTCCGCAAGCCGCACTGGACAGGGCCGTGTGCCTGGGACGCAGGGGGCTGGGGCGGGGGCCAGGCCGATCTTGGAGCGCCTTTCCTTTGCAGGCGCTCACCCCTGGGAGGCCCGACCCCAGTCTGCAAGGCCACGCTGTCAGGTAGCTAAGCCTGGGGGGCGGGGTGGGGAAGCACCACCCCTTCCCTGCCCCCCCACCCCGCTCCCCTGGCCGACACCCATCACCGCCGGCTGGGGCTTCCGGGCCCTGTCAGTCACCGGCCCGCCGCCCCTTCCCCAGAGGAGACGTGTCAGCAGTTGGCCCGGGAGACCCTGGAGGAGCTGGACTGGTGTCTGGAGCAGCTGGAGTCCATGCAGACCTATCGCTCTGTGAGCGAGATGGCCTCGCACAAGGTGTGTAGGGATCCCTGGACGGAGCCCGGGGGTGGAGCCAGATACTGGCAGGGTTGGTGGGTGGGGCCGACCATTGGGCGGTGCCGATGGGGCGCAGCCAATCACCTAGCGGGGCCATGGCGTGCCGCCAATAACTGGGTGGGGCCTGTGGGCACGGCCAACCACTGGATGCAGCGAATGAGGGCGCGGCCAACCATTGGGCGGGGCCTATGGAGTGGAGCCAATGCCTGAGTGGGGCCCGTTGGGTGGGGCCTGTGGGCATGGCCAACCACTGGGAGGTGCAGATGGGGCTTGGCCAATCCCTTAGCGGGACCTCTGGAGTGACGCCAATAACTGGGTGGGGTCTGTGGGCACGGCCAACCACTGGGTGCAGCGGATGAGGGCGCGGCCAATCGCTGGGCGGGACCAACCACTGGGGTGGTGCTGATGGGGCGTGGCCAATCCCTTAGCGGGGCCTATGGAGTGGAGCCAATGCCTGGGTGGGGCCCGTTGGGTGGGGCCTGTGGGCACCGGCCAACCAATGGCTGATGTGGGTGCGGCCAGCGCTTGAGCGGCAGCTTTAAGATTTGTAACTCCTATGACATGACTTTTCGCAGGGCTGGTGTGCGTGCGCACGTGTGTGTGTTGGGGGGCGCGTATGGTTGTACATCCGTCCCTAAGTGACTTTCTCTTGGGGGGCTTGGTTGCTTGTACGATCTCTAGGTGTGAGTCTATGGCTATGGGGCTGTGTCGCCGCCGGTTTGTGGGCTGCCTGTTTGCCGCACTGGTGTGTCGGGGTGCACCTGTGGAGGGTGTGCACAGGTGGCTGTGCGGGGCTGCAGGTGTGTAAGTGTGCAGGCTATGCCGGAAGGGGGTATGTGTGTCATTGAGACAGCAGGTGCTGTGAATGAGGCTTCCTGGAGTTGTGCAGCCCTTGTGGGCGGATGCCTGTTAGGAAATGGATGTGTGGGTGGGGGTGTCGTTGTTGGGGCGGGGTGTGCACGTCTGGGGGTGGAGGCTTGTCTGGGAACGTGTGAGTCTGAAGGCAATGGTGTCCCCGAGGGTGGGTCAGGCGTCTGAGAATGTGACTGTGTCCCTGGTGGGTGTTTCTGTGTTGGTGCCAGAGTATGTCCACATTTGTACATCTGTGAGTGTGAGTATTCTTGGGAGGATTTGTCGTGTGTGTGTGTGTGTGTGTGTTTGGAAGTGTGTCTGGTGTCTGGGTGTCCGTCCCTAGGGGTATGTTGGGTGTGCGGCTTGGTTCTCGGAAGGGGCGTGTCTGAGCGCACCTGTGTGCCTGGTTGTCTGCCTGTAGCAGGTTGTGACTGCGGTTGCTTGTGTGTGCGTGTGCACCTGCACGTGTGGGTTGTAAGTGTGGGGCTGGAGGCATTCGGGTACCTGTGTGTGTGTCACAGGGTGTGTGTGTCTCTGGGTGTGTCCCTGGAGAGGAGCTGTCTTCATGGTGGGGAGGAAGGCGTGGCCTTTCCTCCCTGACCCCCAGCCGCCCCGCTGGGTCCTGGCTGAGGCCTGTGGTCTCCGATGCCCCTTTAACGCCCCCCCACCCCCAGCACCACGTGACTTTGCATGCAGCCTGCCAGTGCTGCAGTGAGCGCGCGACGCGCACACACGGGTGCACACTCGGACGGAGCCCCGAGCCTCCGCAGCCTCCGTCTGGGACCCTCCCCCTGCCCCTCCATGGGCAAGGACGCGCCGCCGCCTCCAGCCTCCGCCGCCGGGGGGCCCATCTGGGCCAGGGGCCGGCGGACGATGTAACCAGGGCTGCGTCCGGGAGCGCGGAGGGGAAGGGAGCCCCCAGCCTTGCTGGGCCGGCCCAGGCCCCTCCGCGGCTCCCCCTTCCGCTGCCCCCACCTGCCCAGCACCCCACCCCCGCCCCACCCCCAGGGGCTGTGAACCCTGGGACTCCCCAAGCCCAGCCTCTGTGTGCGGCAGCCCCGAGCGGGGCTAAGACTCCAAGATGCCCTTGGTGGATTTCTTCTGCGAGACGTGCTCCAAGCCGTGGCTGGTGGGCTGGTGGGACCAGGTAGGGGAAGGTGGGGTGGAGGAAGGGCAAGGGACCCTCCCCCTGGGACCCTCCAGCCCCCAGGGGGGTCTTGTGTGCAGCTGTGCACGAGTGTGGCCTGGGAGACCTGTGCCTCTGTGTATGTGTGTGTGTGTGACCCAGGGCTGGGCGTGGATGGCGGGCGGCTGGGGGCGTGTGACTCCCACGGGATGGCAGGGTGAGGGGTTGTCTCCTGCTGGGCGTGACCGTGTCAGCGTCTGGATCCGTGTCTGTCTGCCTGACCATGTCTGCCTGTCGACCTGGGTCACGGCATGGCCCTGTTTCAGTGTTGGGCCATGTTTGTGTTCCCATTGCTGTCTCTGGTCCTTCTGAGCCTTTCGACCCCCCCCCCCCCCGGCTATGACTGCCTTTCTGTATGTGTGCCCCTTGATTTGTGGGGCTGGGTCGCCGTGTGGCCGTGTGGGATTGTGTGGGTCCATCTTGTGTGTGTGTGTGTCTGTGTCTCAGTGCATTTGGGCCTCTGGGCAGCCTGGGGAGCAGTGAGTGACCCTTGCAGCCTGGTGGCCCCCTGCCTCGCTGGGCAGAGTCTGTCTCTGCTTTGGGGGTGCCTTGGCAGAGCTTGGGGGTGGGGAGCCGATGCCCTTCCTCCTCCCTGCACAATGTCACAGCAGAGGCCTGTGTCAAGTGGCATGAGGGGCCAGGAGGGGCCCCCAAGCCGCGTCTGAGGCACACCCCATGCATCTGTGCCTCTGTCTACCTCCCTGAGGTTGGGAGAAAGGGGGCTACGATGGGAGCCCCCTCCCCTTCCCCTGGGTGACCGAACTGTGGCTTCCTCCACTCACTCACCTTTCTGTCCTGGCCAAAAATTCTCTTCCCCTAGAGCTTGGAAACTGCCTGCCCTTCTCCTAACCTGGGCTGGGTGTGGGGACCCCCAGGAATTGAGGTCCATGTTTTGGGAAGACCTGGGCCAGGGTGGCTCTGGGAAGGCAAGGGTTAAGGGGCCTCTGGCTTGCCCCCCTTTCCCCCAGCTCAGCAGCTGGTTGGAGGGGGAGTTGCTAAGGAGACTCCCATCACCATGGCGACGGGAGTCTCCTGATACCCCATTGGCTCCCTCTTAGGGAAGAGCCCCTCCCTTCCACAGGTGCTCCTCTGGCTCCTCCTGGGGGGGGGTTGAGGGGGGGGAGCCCTTTTTAACCTCAGGGAGGGCTTTGCTGACTCCAACATTCCCCACCCCCCACCCCAGCCTGGGGATTCCCTTCCAGGTCTGTGGGGACAGGAAGGACTGGAGTCTTCCCCTCCAGCTGCCTGGTAGGGGTTCTGTTGGCAGAAGGAAAAAGCCAGAATGAGTCACTGGGCCTTCAGGAGTTTCTTGGGAAGGGCTGGGGGGTGCCATGTCGCCCCCCACCCCGTCACCCCTTCCCTCTTCCCGCCTTCCCCTTAGTTCAAGAGGATGCTGAACCGGGAGCTCACGCACCTGTCAGAAATGAGCAGATCAGGAAACCAAGTGTCAGAGTACATCTCCACCACGTTCCTGGGTGAGTGGAGGCCGCAGCAGGTGGCGCCGGCGGGCGGGGGGCGCCGTGCCGAAGGGGGCTGCGCTCCAGTTCCAGGCCCGTTGACCCTGCCTCTCGACTCCCCAAAGGTCAAAGGCATCACACAGGAGCGCTCCCATGCGTGACGCCCCCAAAGTCAGCGGGACCCCAAATCCTAAGCAACACACATGTAAGAATACCCCCAAGGGGAAAACCCCTTCCAGAACTCAACGGGACTCTGACACAGGATGCCGAGAGACCCCCAGAGCCAAAGGGGATGAATCCCTCCAGGTCAGAAAGCTTCCTGAACCCAGCAGAACCGAAAGTGTAGTGGGAGCGGCCCCCCAGCTGTAGACGATGCCTCCACACTCAGACAGACACTGAAACTCAGGAAGTTCTCCAGCTGAAGAGAGTCCTGGTGGGCCTAAAATCCCACAAGGGGACAGGGGTTAAGGTACCTACGTCCCGTCCTGGAGTGCCCAGGGTGAAGTCCAGCTTCCCGCTCAGGCACACCCTGGGAGGCAGCAGGGGATGATGGCCCAAGTGGTTGGGTCCCTGCCACCCACCTGGGAGACCTGGATGGAGCTCCTGGCTCCTGGCTTCAGCCTGGCCTAATCCTGGCTGTTGGGGGTCCCTCTCTGCCTTTCAAATGAAATATTTTCTTAAAAAAAGAACCCACAAAAGCCTCCCAAATTTTAAAGAGCCTTCAAGCTATAAAGCCCTCCAACTACAGTAGAACCCCTAAACTTGGTATGACTGCCCCCAAATTCAGTAGAGGCCCCAAACTTTAGATCCCCACACTCAGTGGGATTCCCAAGCTTAACAACCAATAAGAGATTCCCCAAAGTTGGGAGGATTTCCTAACACTGTGGAACCCCTAATAAAACAGAATACCCAAATTCTTTGTAATTCTTAAACTCATGAGGAACTCAAACTCATTTTAACCTGTGAATTCAGTAGCCTTCAACTAAGGGTATTCCCCAAATATACCCTTACAATATCCCAAAATCCCAAAGTCCCCCAAAATCTAGGAGACACTCCACACACACACACATACACACACACACACACACACACACACACGCGCGTGCAGGTTCAGCAAAGTCCAATGCTCCCGCCCATGAGGATGGGGTATATCTCAGAGTTCTGAGGATCCAGCCAATGGGAGCACGGTATGCAAATGACCCCACTTTAGGCCCTGTCATTGACTGGCAGCCCAGGTCACAATGGGTGGTCCTGGATGGGCGCTGGACACCCTTGAAGGCTTAGGAAAAGGCTCCTGGGGCTGGCCCCTGGGCAGGCTGGTGCTGGGGGGGGGGGCCATGGAGCCAGAAACCCCTCTGCCCTCCCTCCTCCCAGCAGTGGCCCCCCCCACCAGCCCTCTTGGCCCACACAGGAGTGTCTTCCCTACCCTAGAATCTTCCCTGGGTATCCAGGGCAAGCAGCTTCTCTCCCTCACCTCCCCGCCCCGCTTCCTGACTTCCCACCCCACCTTCCGGCCAAACGTGATGATCGGACTAGGGCCGCCCCACAGCCCTGGGCTGGCCCCGGGGCCCCCACTGCAGCCCACCACCTCCCAGAAGGCCGCCTTGGCCCTTTCTAGTTTCCGGCTTCTGAGAGGTCATCAGTTGGACATCAAGAAGGGGTCGACCCCTTCCGGTGAACATCCCCGGATATGGTGGGGGGAGGGGGCGGGGTGGCAGAGAGACGCGGGAGCCTCCGGGAGGGGTGATCATGCTTGTCTCCCCACCCCCCACCCCTTCAGACAAACAGAATGAAGTGGAGATCCCCTCACCCACGTCGAAGGAACGAGAGCAGACGCCACGGCAGAAACCCTCCCCGCAGCCCCCAGCCCCGGTCCCCCCGTTCCAGCCCATGGCTCAGATCACAGGGGTGAAAAGGCCCACACACAGCCTCGGCGACTCTGGCATCCCCCGCTTTGGCGTGAAGACCGACCAGGAGGAGCTCCTGGCACAGGTGGGTATGGGCTGGGCGGGAAAGGGGGCTGGGGGTCCTGCTGGGGCCCAGAGAAGCACTGGGCATCGGGTCTCCTCTGGTTTTTTTTTTTGTTTTGTTTTTTTTATTTTAACAGGCAGAGTGGATAGTGAGAGAGAGAGAGAGAGAGAGAGAGAGAAAGGTCTTCCTTTGCCGTTGGTTCACCCTCCAATGGCCACCACGGCCGGCGTACCACACTGATCCGATGGCAGGAGCCAGGTGCTTCTCCTGGTCTCCAATGCGGGTGCAGGGCCCAAGCACTTGGGCCATCCTCCACTGCACTCCCGGGCCACAGCAGAGAGTTGGCCTGGAAGAGGGTCAACCGGGACAGAATCTGGCGCCCCGACCGGGACTAGAACCCGGTGTGCCGGCACCGCTAGGTGGAGGATCAGCCTAGTGAGCCACGGTGCCGGCCCTGGTTTCTTTTTTTATTTATAAAGGTTGTCTTATTTGAAAAAGCAGAATGATAGAGTGAGAGATCTACTGGCTCACTCCCCACATGGCTGCGACAGCCAGGGCTGGGTCAGGCCGGAGCCAGGAGCCAGGAGCTCCACCCGGGTCTCCCACGTGGGTGGCAGGGGCCCTGGTACTTGAGGCATCCCTGCTGCCGCCCTGGGTGCGCATGAGCAGGGTAGCGTAGCCCAGAGGCCGAGCTGTGCTTGGTGTCCGGCCGGCTGGGTTCCCATCCTAGCCTGGTCACTCGGGAGCCACACGATCCTGGAGAAGTCCCCTAGCTCCCCTGAGCCTCTGTGTCCTTGCCTGCCCAGGGAGATGAGGATGTGGTGGCAGGAACTGCGACCACCTCCTCTCCCTTGCCCATTTTGTTATTTCACAACTGGGTGGACAGTCATGGTGCGTCTTTCAGACCAGACCTCAAGGAAGTGGTCCCGGAGGCCCTGGGCCTTACGGACTCACGACCTCTGACCTCCCTCTCCCCCAGGAACTGGAGAACTTGAGCAAGTGGGGCCTGAACATCTTCTGCGTGTCAGACTACGCCGGGGGCCGCTCCCTCAGCTGCATCATGTACACCATATTCCAGGTGATGGGGGCCTCGGAGAGCGGGCCGTGGGCCGTGACAGGTGCAGGGTGTGGCCGGCGTTGGGGGGCGGCGATCACCACCCTGTCCCCTCGCTGGCCCTCAGGAGCGGGACCTGCTGAAGAAGTTCCGCATCCCCGTGGACACCATGGTGACGTACATGTTGACCCTGGAGGACCACTACCACGCGGACGTGGCCTACCACAACAGCCTCCACGCGGCCGACGTCCTGCAGTCCACCCACGTGCTGCTGGCCACGCCCGCGCTGGATGTGAGTGCCTGCCGCCGGCCCCCCGGGTGCCCCCCAGCCCTGCCTTCTGTGTTTCTCTAACCCTGTGTCTCTGACTTCTGTCTCCCTCTGCCCCCGTTCCTCTCTGAAATCATCTTTCTCCCCTGACCCTCATCTTCCATGATGCCCTGCCCACCCGGTCCCCCTCCACCCTCCCCGACCCTGCCTCTCTCATCGCCATCATTCTAGCCTCTCTTTCTCTCCCACCCCTTCTCTCTGCCCCCAGGCCGTATTCACGGACCTGGAGATTCTCGCTGCCCTCTTCGCCGCTGCCATCCACGATGTCGACCACCCTGGGGTCTCCAACCAGTTCCTCATCAACACTAGTGAGCGGCATTTCCCGGGGGCGGGGCTGGAGGCGGGGCCAGCAGCTTGGAGGAGGCGCGATTGGTTTAGAGGCAAGGTTGCCATCTTGGTGGGGTGAAGCCGGTGGCTTTGAGGCTGAGTGATTGGCTCAGAGGCGGGACTGACCGGCTTGGGGGCGGGGCCGGTAGCGTAAAGGCAGAGTTGATTGGTTTGGAGGCAGAGCTGGCTGGCTTGGGGGCGGGGCCAGCAGCGTAAAGGCAGATTGGTTTGGAGGCGGGGCTGGCCGGCTTGGGGGCAGGGCTGGCAGCATAGAGGCAGAGTTGATTGGTTTGGAGGCGGGGCTGGCTGTCTTGGAGGCGGGGCCGGCAGCGTAGAGGCAGAGTTGATTGGTTTGGAGGCGGGGCTGGCTGTCTTGGGGGCGGGGCCGGCAGCGTAGAGGCAGAGTTGATTGGTTTGGAGGCGGAGCTGGCTGTCTTGGGGCGGGGCCTGACCTCCTCCCCCCACCCCCCTGCCCCGGGCTGCAGATTCGGAACTGGCACTCATGTACAATGACGAGTCGGTGCTGGAGAATCACCACCTGGCTGTGGGCTTCAAACTGTTGCAAGAGGACAACTGCGACATCTTCCAGAACCTCACCAAGCGCCAGCGGCAGAGTCTGCGCAAGATGGTCATCGACATGGTGGGTGGGGGCGGGCAGCAGAGCGAGGCCTGGGAACCCGGGCTCCAGGGGAGCCCCCGGCGGGCAGCCCCCCACCCCGTGACACCCCCGTGCCCACAGGTGCTGGCCACGGACATGTCCAAGCACATGACCCTGCTGGCTGACCTGAAGACCATGGTGGAAACGAAGAAAGTGACCAGCTCGGGGGTCCTCTTGCTGGACAACTACTCTGACCGCATCCAGGTGCCCCTTCCGCGACGCTGGGACCCTCCCCGCCCCCGCCCCCTTCTGCCCACTCTCTCCACCTCAAGGAGGAGAAAGGCGGGCCCGAGACTGGGCCCCGCCCCTGAAGGCCCCCGCCCCGCCCCCCGTGCAGGTGCTGAGGAACATGGTGCACTGTGCAGACCTGAGCAACCCCACCAAGCCGCTGGAGCTGTACAGGCAGTGGACCGACCGCATCATGGCCGAGTTCTTCCAGCAGGGCGACCGGGAGCGCGAGCGGGGCATGGAGATCAGCCCGATGTGCGACAAGCACACAGCCTCCGTGGAGAAGTCCCAGGTACGGGGTTGGCGGCGGCGTGTGCGACTAAGCAGGGAGGAAAGGCAATGCTAGGGGGCCGTCCGCTGTGATGTGATGTCATTTCTACTCGCTTCCTGTTGCCAAAACTGCCATAGGTTGTCCCTGAGGCACGTGCCTTGTCACTGAGCCTACCTGAGGCACAAGTGAAGCTGTTGGCAGTTCGTGTGTTTTTGTCTTGTATGTGAGTTGTTATTTTTTTTTTTTCTTGTGGTCCCAGAATTTTCCCAAGGTACGTCTGGAAAAGCAGAATTTCTGGATCATGGAATAAAAGCACTTTTTTTTTGTTTTATTACATCCTATAATAGGACAGTGCCACCCACCCGCTAGGCCACCTGTTTAATTGCTTTAAGGCTTATTGATTGATTGATTGATTGATTGGCAGAGTGATGAGAGACAGAAAAGGCGCTTCCCTTGGCTGGTTCCACTCCCCAAGTGGCTGTCAAGTCAGGGCTGAGCTGGGCCAAAGCCAGGAGCCTAGAATGTCGTCTGGGTCTCCCATGGGAGCAGCAGGGGCCCGATCCCCTGGGCCACCTTCTGCTGCCTTCCAGTGCACCAGCAGGGAGCTGGGTCGGAAGCGGAGCGGCCGGGACTGCACCCATAGGGGATGCCAGCATCGCAGGGGCGGCTCAGCCCGCGGGGCCGCAGCCAGGCCGCCTCTCCATCCCGTCCTCCCCTCCCCCCCAAGGTGGGCTTCATCGACTACATCGTGCACCCGCTGTGGGAGACCTGGGCAGACCTCGTGCACCCAGATGCCCAAGAGATCCTGGACACGCTGGAAGACAACCGGGGCTGGTACTACAGCGCCATCCGGCAGAGCCCGCCGCCGCCGCCCGAGGATGAGCCCGGGGGACCAGGCCACCCGGGCCCGCCTGATAAGTTCCAATTCGAGCTGACGCTGGAGGAGGAAGAAGAGGAGGAGGCGTGCACGACCCAGATCCCATTCTTGGCCCAGGACGCACAGGAAGCACCCACGCCTGCGGCTGAGACCACGGCCCCCGATCCATCCGGGGAACTGGCCGACGAGGCCCAGGACCTGGACGAATCTCCAGAGGTGCAGGTGCATGGAGCGGCTTGGGCGGACTCAGTGGCCCAGGTGGAATCTGTGGATGCCGTAAGCCGCCCCCCTGCCCTGGCTGTGGGGAGCCCCCTGCCGCCTGCTTTGAGGACCCTCCCCATTCCAGAGGAGGCCCCGGGCTCCCAGGGCCTCCCCTCCACGGCAGCCGAGGTGGGGGCCCGAAGACAGCATCAGGCTGCCAAAGAGACAGCTGCAGAAGACCCTCCCACGCGCGGGCGGGGGTCCCCCGGAGACCCCCCCTGAGCCTCAACACGCTCACCCTGTCTCCACCCGCAACCCCCTCCCCCAGTATCCTGCCCCGAACTCCTCGGCCGCCGCCTCAAAGACCCCGTGGCCCCCATGAGAAAAAAGAACAGAAAAGTGGGCTTTTTTTTTTTTTTTTTTTTTTTCCTTTTTCCCCCCCATTCTCCCTGCCCCTACCCATACAGCCGTTTCTTTCTTTTTTTTTTTTTTCAAAGTGGGGGCTGGGGAATGAGGGGCTGATGTGTCCCAGAAGGGATTTTATTTTTTGAATTTTAATTGTAACATTTTTAGAAAAAGGCAAAAAAAAAAAAAAAAAGGAAAGAAAGAAAAAAACACAGAAACTGTAGACACTCCTCCTCTTCCTGGGTCCCCCTGTTCGCCACCCTCCGAGTCACCCTGTCCCACCTCCCCCACCCCCGCGCCCACGCCCCAAGTTCAAGGCTGCGTCTTCCCGCCTCTTGGGTCCAGGTGCAGGCGTGGGGACCTCCTTCTGAGTTTGGAGGGTTCTAGAACCCAGCCAGGCATAGCCATTTGGGGCGGGGCCGGCAGAGGGGTCGCCCTCTCTGTCCCGCCCCCCCCCCCAAACAAAAGTCTTCCGCCTCATTTTGCGCAGCCCCAGCCGTGCCGACCTGGGGGAGGGGCGGTCAGGGTCCAGGTGGGCCAGCCGTCCCGCCCGCAGGACCGCAGCCCCCTCCGCTCGCCACCCCCTTCCCGTCCACCTTGGGTTCACGCTGGATTTCCTCCGTTTTGGGGAGGGGGGAGCCCTGACGGCACACAGGCATACCCCCTCCCCCTCAGACTGCTGCTCCACGTGTATCTGCCTTTGCGGATCCCACCACGACCGGAGGAAGGGTGGCGGAGGGAACCCCCCTTTACTCGATGGATAGAGGGGCTTGATTCGGAGACCCCTTCCAGAATACATCAAAAATGTAGACACATTCCATTTTATTCATCAGCATCAGAATAAGCCCAAACAGCGCAGCAGCAACAGATCATACATGAGATGGGCACCCCAACTATTCCATTAGGATTATTATCCCATTTCCTCAACAAAAGATTACCAAAA